TCCTATTTAGTTGGATGGGCCTCCAACCCTCCTCCCCCCCCCCCCCCCCACCCACACACTTGGGCTTCAGTTCTCCAATTGAGAAGGAAGTGGGCAAAATCCGGGGAGAAACTCGTTTGTTAGCTTATTTGGGGGGTAGGATGTGTCATTTTCGCTGCTCAGCCCGCCTCTTCCCCCCCCCTCCCCTCCTCCCCACTCGCTTCATAAAACCGCGATTCTGCTCCATAGTGTCGCAACTGTATCAGTATAATGGGAGCACGTTGCATCAGCGGACCCGGAACGCGTCAATAATGGGCCCCACTTTCGATAGACAAAGAATACGCATCAATCACGGTCATGAACGACATGCCGAAACGGGTTTACTCACCAACGACAGAATAATGATGACCAATCCGAGGACGATCATGTACCAATACTGGTCCATGAACTCCTTCACGACCGACAGGCTCTGGTCGGACAAAAGGAGGTCCTTGAGCGTGGCCAACGGACCGATGGGATCCACCTGAAACACGCCCGGTCCGTGCAGAGGTCAGCTGAGGTCAGTTGCAGAATAAGTCGGACGAATGCAGGAGACACCCATAGATGTAAACAGGAATAGACAGGCGTACTCACGGGGCCAGCCAGCTTCTCAACAGCTGTTGACAGAGTCGGAGAGATAATCACGGGGTTTGTGGTACGGCCCCAAACCGGCGCGAGAAAGACCGGGATCTCAGAGAAAAGACGGAACTGACCTCCGTGCTGCACAGATGACACGAGGAGATTCGTAACATGCGGCGAAAGCAATAGCAGCGGAAAGGGTGCGCTGAAGTGAGTCCTCTACGCTGACACGTGTGCCTAGCAATATACTTCGGCCCCGGCGACAACGCGGTCTGGCAACGTAAAATATTATTTTAAACTTAGTAAAGCTGGTAGCGCCTAAGCCAGGTCAGTTATCGCTCTGACCCCGGCTGGTGACCGCTGATCATGCCCCATTCTGAGCCAATCATTTCTCTGACCCTATCAATAGACCCATTTGAGTCCAATAGATACGAAGTCGTTTTAAGTCAGTGTTCCTCAACGACCCTGGGAACTAGACCCGCTTTGAGCCTCTTATAGACCAGCCTGAGCTACGAGATGTGGCAGGCTTTGCGTCCCGTGATGGGTCACTTTGGTCTAACCGGTATACTAAATTGACTGGGTCCCAGTCACGGATCCGCCCTGACTAGGGTTTGTCGCCGTGGTTTAAACACCTGATTTCAGTCACAGATTGCCCTGACTGGGGGTTGTCACTGGGGTTGATTGAACGCTGGTTCCAATCGCAGATCGCCCTGCCTGGGGGTGTCACTTGAGGTTTTAACTCCTGGGACTCAGGCAAGGGCTTGTGTGTACCCAAAATGGCGCTCGATGGTAGTCAAACCGACGAAAAGATGTTGCAAATGACAGAATAATGACCACCGTTAAAGGAGTGCCAAGGGCCATACCCCAGGAACATGGTCCCTGGTAGCCATCAGGTGGTTGTCTCCGGCTCTGTCCCTTTAAAGGCCGTTCTGGGCCTCGTGATGGGTCACTGAGGGTCGGGCGACAGACTGCTGGCCGAGTCTGGTGACAGATCGCGGTCCCGGAACGCTCCGGACCGCCCGGGCCCGGCTGGGCTGGCGGTGTGGGCCTCGGAATGGGTCACTGAGGGCCGGGAGACAGATCGCTGGCCGAGTCTGGTGGGGCCGCCGCCCCGGAGCGCTGCGGACCGCCCGGGACCGGCTGGGCTGGCGTTCTGGGCCTCGTAATGGGTCACTGAGGGCCGGGAGACAGATCGCTGGCCGAGTCTGGTGACGGGCCGCCGCCCCGGAGCGCTGCGGACCGCCCGGGACCGGCTGGGCTGGCGCCTGACCTCTCGGCACTGCTGGAAGACGTCGCAGTAGCCGGCGTACTGGTTACAGGGCGTGCCGGGCCGGCTGTACCGGGCCGGGATCTCGAACGGCGACTCGTTCCACTCGAACGACGAGCTGCGGGACAGCAGAGCGGGACGTCATGTGCGGTCGCGTGCAGGCGGCAGCCTTGTGGTCGGACATGGAAGCGAGGGGACGATATCTGCGCCGTCAACCGCGCTGGGGAGAGATACACCGCTGATCCTCAAGCAGTGTTGCTAGGGCTGCGGTGCAGGTACGGCGATGTGGGAACGACGGCTTGGCTGCCAGGTGTGATGGCGCATGCGATGTTTCAGTTCCCAGACACAAAGCGGATAAATTGCTCGGCATGGTTAACAGGGATTTCGCAGCAAAGGTCGAACATTGGCAGGGGCCATAGCGGTGTGAGGTGAATAATCAAGGCATGGCGGTTGTGAAGGTGAACAACGAAGTGAATATGTGTGATGGAACATTGGCAGGGGCATAGCGGTGTTGAGGTGAATAATTAAAGCATGGCGGTGTGAAGGTGAACAATGAAATGAATATGTGTGACACTGCATCTCCTCGGCAGCGAGGACTGACGCGTCCAATGTGCAGGTTGCATTGCGTAGTTCAGTACTTGAAGATGATGGGAGTTTATGTCCATTAGCTCAGACCAAAATGAATCGATTGAATACGGAGAACGCTATTACAATATGCAAATTGTTGCAGAGGTGGACATTCTGATGTCCTTTTACGGTGCACGCCACGAATTTCAACGATTGCGATCATGTGCTTATTTTGTAATACCGGGACAGCTCACCGCATTAGAGTTCAGCCACCCGTTTCTAGGTCAACATGGACCAAGCGCTCTGTATAAATGCGCACATGCAACGTGCGACAATATGAAGGCGACGAGCTTACTTTCATACAGATCGTTGCATTGTCCTTTCCGTTTGACTGGTCCTGGTCTTACGCTGGTGACAATCGTTTTGTTAAGGCTTGCCGGGTGAATTTTGAATTGATTTTTCCATTTGAAATTTTTCAGTGAAGTACATCGAGGCTCATCATATTTCATGTGGACCCATAACCTAGTTGTGTACTTGTACCTTTTTCCCGCTCAAAAAGAATTGGATGCTGTTCTTAACGCAGCCCCGGGAATTTCGAAGAATCAGAGATATTCCTACGGAAAAATTGAAAATGTCTTACAGTTTTAAAACAATTCATGTAGCATACCTCCATGAAAACTGCTGATATCAAGCAGTTGTTTCCCAAAAGCAAACGCGCACAGCCTTACGACACGGCCATTCATTAAAGCCAACGCCCCTTATATTTGACTATCACGATGAGACACCGTCAAAGACAAAGTGTGTGGCAATATTGTATCTTCGTACAGAGAATCTGATGCGCCATTGTCCTGTCTACAACAACCAGCATAGCGTATGAAATTTTCCCCGTTTGCAATCCTGTCCCTCCCATACATTGCAAGAAAGTCAAGAAGTCACAACAGCTGTTCCCCGCGCCCGTACGGTGGCGGCGCGACCCGCTGTCCTTGGTCGACCACATCACAAGCCGAGCGCAGATTTTCCCCATCACCGCTAACCCGACCGGTTCGCCGGCGACGGTTCTTTGCGGCGGCGGTGAGCTAACAATGCTATCACCGCGAGCAGATCGTCAGCCATGCCCAAACACGGTGCGAGGGATTTCTTCTGCCCTCTCGCCTGCCCTCCCCACTCCAGGCTGAGCGCCGCCGGGGCTGGTGGCCGGCCCTCAACTCCACTGAGTCACCCGCACGCTGCCGGCTGTGGCCGTGCAGCAGCTCGGGCTCGGCGCACTCGAGCCTCGCGCTCCGCCGCGCGCCGCCGTGGTCAGCGGGCGCCGCGGTCGATGCGTCGGCCGACCGCGGCGCCCGGCTTCACTCACCGGCACGGCTGGTCGGCGCCGGGGCGCTTGCAGCACAGCTCGCAGGACCTGGTTAGCGTTGCCGCCGTCGACCGGATCACATTGGCATGACTCCAGCCCGTACGCCAGGCAGATCGAACCCGAACACTCCTGCCGGTGTCGGCGCGTGACGTCACACAATGCACTCTGCCAGGCTCCGGCGGCACGCGGACGCCTGGCTTGACCTTGGACACTGCGTTTTTGTGAATCGCTAATGCATTCGCTGCAGTCTGCAAATTTGTACAAGGATGGTGAGGCAATGTACGTGCTTGTAAGTAGCTGTAAGCGGATAATGCGTTTAAGCTTATGACTGTTCAGAGAATGAACACCCGTGCATGACTGTTCAGATATTTTGAAACGCTGTGCGCCATTACGTGTGGTACAGCCTCATGAAAAAGCCCAAACTACAGCCCAGAGTGTAAACCCATACAATAGACATTGCGTGCAGCGCGCTTCACGAAAAGTAGCTTGCGTTAACACTTCGTTAATTGGGTTAGATCACGATCAACAAATAGGTGGAACGCATTTACATTTACTGCAGCATTTTGCTCACACACGTTTTGAGTGGCTAAACCTCGGAAAATTCATCCAAAAGCTTTCAGTCAAAGATTTTTTAGAAAGCACGTACCGAAACCGTTAACGCTATCAGAATCTGGTGTTTAGCCCTACAGCATTCGGACCTGATATTGTAGAGCTCTGATAGAAAGTACTCAGCCTGATAACCTTCTGATTCCCATCAACACCCAGCATGCAAATCCAGCTGAACACTCCAGTATAGGTACAAATCCAGCTCAGGAACCCAGCGCCCAGCTCAACACCTCAGGAAAACAATGCCAGTTGAGCAACTCAGCGTCAAGCCTAGCCCAGCACCAGTGTCAAGTCCAGCTCAGCACCAGTGCCAAGCGCATCTGAGCACCAGTGCCCAGCCCAGCTCAGCACCAGTGCCCAGCCAGCTCAGCACCAGCGGGCAGCCGCGGCTCAGCGGCCGCCGACCGGGCGCGACGCACGAGCGCGCACTGACCCCCTGATAGCAGACGTTGTACTCGTTGCAGACGGTGCGGTCGGGCTTGCGGATGGAGGGCGGACAGTGTGGCGAGCGGCCGTTACAGCGGCTGGTGGCGCGGCAGCCGTTGTCGTTGCGGCACTGCTGCCCGTACCCGAGCTCGCAGGTGGAGTTGCAGCACGGGCCCTGCCGGTCACGGGGTCGAGCGTCAGCGGGGTGCGGACTACGGACTGACCGTGAGCACGGGCCCTGCCGGCACGGGGTCATGAGCGGGGGGTGCGGACTAGGACACGGACTGATGCCGTGGAGCACGGGCCCTGCCGGTCATGGAGCCGGGCGTCAGCGGGGTGCGGACTAGGACACGGACTGATGCCGTGGAGCACGGGCCCTGCCGCACACGGGGAGCCGGGCGTGAGGGGTGCGGACTAGGACACGGACTGACCGGGAGCACGGGCCCTGCCGGTCATGGAGCCGGGCGTCAGCGGGGTGCGGACTAGGACACGGACTGACACCGTGGAGCACGGGCCCTGCCGCACACGGTCACGGAGCCGGGCGTCAGAGGGGTGCGGACTAGGACCATGGAGCACGGGCCCCGCCGCACACGGTCATGGAGCCGGGCGTCAGCGGGGTGCGGACTAGGACACGGACTGATCCCGTACAGACTGGGCCCGGCGGTACAGTATATGCAGAGCATGTGCTGAGTCAACGCTCTGGACAAACATGACGGAGTGGGGTGTGTATCTAGTGTCTGAGTGGAGTGAGTTCGGCATTGCATGAAGAAACGCCGCTTGCTTGGAAAGAATGTAACATTAAAACGACATGAAGCGGCTTTCACTTAGCGCAATTTAAAGCACGCATACCAACACCAGCACAAGCGAAACGACCAGCTGTAGCTGAATCGCTCGGCTCGGCTACGCTGTCTAAGACAGGATGGTCTCACCGCACGCGGGGCATTCACCCGACCTCGGCCCCTCGCTTGATAGCGCTTCCGGTGCCCCTGACCTAATCGCTGAGCAGGCCTTCGAGCCCTATCTGGGCAGCTTAAGCAGACGTTTCAGGTACCGTCACTACCTCGTTAGATGCTTTCAGCTTTACAGTTTTACGAGTCAAGTAGAGTCAGCCCGATGTAAGCACCCAGCAATCCAGTTCGCAGATCATGGGAGCGGCTATTGATTGCCTGCTCTCCTTACCGCAGAAGCAAACACGCGAGGAAAACAGGCCTAAGACGGCTGCAATCAAGTTATATGTTATGCATGACTGAACCGCCATCCGCTATCAGCGTGCTCTGACCTGGCTGGGGCTGCATTGCGCACCGGGCCGCAGCCGGCACGGCGGCTGGCCCGGGGGCGGCGCGGCGCGCATCGGGTTACAGCAGGCCTCGATGCAGTCCTCCTCCCAGCCGCAGTCGCACTCCTCGCCATCCTCCACCACGCCGTTTCCGCAGATGGCTGCCTGCGGCTCTGGGGGCGGCGTCGGCGGCTCAGTGCGGTGCCGTCAGCTGATGAACGGGTCATGCCAGGGTCATTCGACACTCGGCGTGGGCAGAAAACTGCCCGTTCTTCCATTCTCAATCTGGCGCAATGAGCGCAAAACGATGCAGCGTCGCCACACATCTCCAGTTTTGGCTTCGTTGCCATTATGTAACACTTCGAGACAGGAGCAGAATGAGAAAACTGAGTTATGCTGCAGTGGGCAGTTGAAGAGGTCAGACAGGCTCGGGTCGGACGACATTCATGAACTGGAAGTGGATGGGATGGGCTGGGTGGGACCGGCTCAGGTTGCACCAGGTCGCGCGGGGCAGTGTCGGACCAGATCTGGTCGGATCGCATCGGGTTGAATCGGATCAAACTGGATCGACCCTGGGTCGGGTCGGGTCGGGTCGGGTCAGGTTGGGTCGGGTCGGGTCGGGTCGTGTGGGTTGGGTTGGGTTGGGTTGGGTTGGGTTGGGTTGGGGTTGGGTTGGGTTGGGTCGGGTCGGGTCGGGTCGGGTCGGGTCGGGTCGGGTCAGGTCGGGTCGGGTCGGGTCGGTCGGGTTGGATTGGGTCGAATCAGGTAGTGTCGGGTCGGGTTGCATCGGGCTGGGTCGGGTCAAGTCAGGTCAGGTCAGATCAGATCGGGTCGGGTCGGGTCGGGTCGGGTTGGGTCAGGCTTCAGGCATCGCCTTACCGACAAAAGCAGCCTTTTTGGAGCGCGCCTTCACGCGCAGCACAGGCTCAATGGACCGCAGGCTGCACGGCGAAAAACGGTCGTTGTTCCTCTTGTCGCCCGACGTGGCTCGCGCGAACATGATGTAGTTGCCGTTCTCTCCGCCAGGGGTACACTCCTTGTTCTTGTCGGGATCATGCTGCGCGGCAAGAATGGAGGGGCGTGCGATTTGACTGTCCATACCGATGTTAGCGATGTTCTATCGCATGCATGACTTACAGTTCCGCGTGGGTTCGACGCATTCGACTATGACTGATTGATTTCATCAAACAAGGTTACGCCGCCGTTTGAGACGTGGCGTGATCTTGGCATTACAGACGCCGTGAGTCACCATGACGCAATCACTGTTGGACGTTAATCACAAAGCACCAAACAGGGCCGATAACATGTGCAAAAACCTCTGCCAGAGGGAGTGCCCCCCCCTCCCCGCGCCGCACGTGCAAGGCTGCGCAGTCTCACCTGAGAGCCGAAGTTGTGTCCCACTTCATGGGCAAAGGTCACGTGGCTCACGGCTGGAGGCACCCGTTTGCCGTAATTTAGTATGCTGATGATGCCTGAGTTCAGACTCTTCTTGCTGCCTCGGTAATGCTGGCAATGGGCAAAACATAGTTACGCGTGCATCCAAGCGATTGAAAAGTCACTGCAGGTATGTGCCGGCACAAATAGCATGTTGATAAGTGGTCGGGTTACTAATTGCTGCATCAGTGAATGAATGCTGCACGTTGTCGTTAGCGTTTGTTGCCGCACAATGTTTAGGCTGTGGTTGAATCACAAAGAAATACCGGACATTGTTTGCTTCTTGAAACAAACGCAAGACGACAGATACGGATACCTTGTGCATATCAAGCGCTGCCAAAGCGTGTTCAAGGACTCGACAACGCCGGACATTGTATAACGTGCTGCAAAAATAGGCGCCCCACAGTGACTGCAGAGAAAGACGGCGTTGATTGGCAGAGGCGCAGCCAAGGGGAGGTCAGGTCAGGTCAATACCTCGTCTGACCCCGAAGGACATTTTACTTTGGAAAAATATTCAGCTTTAACGGGTTCAGTGACAGAGTTCATGAGCACTTGGGATACTGATCTCGAGTTTGACCTTGTTTGACCTGATTTGACCTGAAGATCACGCCCTGAAGGCACAAACATTTCACATAAATTAACTCACACACAGGTGTATCCGCCCTGCTGCATTTGGTGTATCTAGCCCTCTTAGTTTGTTTATACCTCAGGCAGCTATGCGGACCAGACGCCTCCCTCATTCAAACGCATCGTATTCAACCAGCTACCAGGCGCTTGGCAAATAAAAACAAAAAGATGAGTGAATAGGAGGTTTAGTAAAGGCACTGTCACTCTTCACCTAAAAATGCATGAGTGGTATATTTAATAGAATTACGTTTGTTGTGATCCATTCACTTCCCGAACGAGCACCGATTTGTGGAGCCTAGCCTTCGTCTGGCACAGGACACGTCACCAGGTTGTAGAGTAATCGAAGAAAGTTTATAAGTCTATATGGTGCGTACTCGGGCTTGGCCGGGTGACTTACCCCATTTTTTTTCGCAGACTCCTCCCGCCTGGTTCAGGTCCCCCGGTCCAAGCCAGACCTAACGTGCCACCCTCGAAGTCGCGGTACGTAAACATGTACGCTAGACCAAAACGAGTCGTAGTTTTCCTCTGAAAATGAAAAACATGTCCAGGTTACTTGTGCCATTTGCTTTGTCCGAAACAGACCAAACACCATTTGTCGGTACAGTAAGGCAGCTGGATCAATAATACATATGTTCCTAGACCCACACGCATTGACATATTTCTGTCTTCCGAAATACAGTAATGTAGGGGCCGCATCCCCGCGCATGACTTCAATGTACGTTACGTATTCATCATGTACCTGGTGGAGTCGCAAGTGGCGTAATTCACTACGTACTAAGACACGTGCGGCTCAAGGACGGCAATAATATCGGTGCAATTGCAATGCTAATAATGGCGTAAAAACACAAAAAGAAACACTGCTGCTGGACTGCGCAGCGCTTAAGCTGATACCCGCCATCAGCGTGACTGATTCGTCGGACCAGAACACCGCTTGCAACAGCTGCAACCTTTCAGTACATCCCTTCAGGGTCATCGCAAACACGCCACCGTGCCCCGCGCCCCCAGAAGTCCGGCTGCCGCCAGGTCCGCTGACGCTGACGCCTCACCTGAGAACAGCTCCAGGTACTTCTCCACGCCCGTAGTTGCCGGGGAACCGGTAGCCGACGTCGTTGACAGCTGTGGGCTTGTGCACTCGGATCCGCTTTATCATGAACCCGATGTTGTCCTGTATGCCATCCTGGTCGAAGTCTGTGGGCACAGGGCAGACATGTGAATAAGCGCTAAACAGCCCGCATCGGTTTAGCCTGTCTACGTTCCGGATACAGCTACGATACATTTGGTGACCAAATGCAAACGAGCGGCAAGCGATCGTACGATGCTATCATGTAGCTTCCAATTGCTGGTTTGCATGTGCAGGACTGGCGCCGTTCCAAACGCCCAATGTCAAGGTCGCGCCCCAGGAAAAACGCCGAACCACTTAATGGTTTACAAAAGCCGACCGTTGTTAATGCATGGTAGCTGGTTACACTAAAAAGGCATTTCGGCTTGTTCCTCGGAGTACGGTGACGTTTAATCAGACAACACTTAGCCCTCAATAATGATTAAAGTTTATCCAGGCGCGTTAGATCATCGCGGACTGGGATGGAGTTCAAAACCCTCTCAACGTCAGCTATTCCTGTGGCCGCCATAGCGTGAATGTTAAACTTCCACAAAGCAGGGGCAATGACACCCGTACAATCCCTAATTCTGCAGTCTGTGCCCTATTTTGGCTGGTACACGGACCAGGGTTGTCTGTAAACCTTTTGGGTGCAGCGTATTTTGTACTCATCGAGGGTGACGTTGGAATTCTTTTCGACAGTTCAAAAAAAATTACAATTTCCTTTTTGCCCCTGTTATTACCAACACATTTTAACACGCCTAGAATAACACCATTTTGACCGGTGAGCTATCTAACGCCCCCCAAACCTCATCGCGGAACTAAAGGACGCGCTCTGTGGCTCCGAGAGCCCCTGCGCCCCACTTCGCGAGCGCGCCCTGTGGCCCCGCTGTCGCGAGCGCGCCCTGTGGCCCCGCTGTCGCGAGCGCGCCCCGTGGCCCCAATGTGGCGAGCGCGTTCCTGCTGAACACCGTCAGCGAGCCTTACCGACTGTCTTGTAAATCTCGTTAGCCTGCTGCACGTGGCGAATCATGGCGTCGATGCAGGCCTCTTCACTGCCGAACTGCTCGTAGAACAGGTGGTCGGCCTGCAGGTACATGGTGCACGTCGTCTTCTTGTTGTTGATTACGGCGCGCCGCCGTCGCGAGCCACTCCTCGTCCCGTTTGCGGTGTTCCCCGCGGTCACGGGTGCCGCCAAGTTCTCGTACAGCTGCGCGTGTCCCAGCCACTCGTCAACGTCGCCGTCCGGTGACGTCCGAGTGACGTCACCGGCGGTCCTGTTGCGCTCGGCGAGGCGCTGCGACGCGCAGCCGCCGGCTGGCTGGCGCGGGTGGGTGACGTCAGAGAGGCGGTATATGAGCGAGTGGAAGTCCTGCGCTTGCTGGAAGTACCGGCTTGAGGGTTCGATGTAAAAGTGCTCGGAGGCGGTCACCACGCTGCCGTCGAACAGGCCGTCGGAGCCGATGACGCCCTGCACCACAGCGTCCTCGTCGTCTGGAACGGACAGACTACGTCAGGCGGCGGCCGCGGAAAACGCCGCGGTGCTGCGCTGGTGCCAAATGAGCCATGTCTGCCCGCCATCCCGGGCCTGACCCCAGGACCGCTCCTGGGGCCGAAGAAGCCGTCGTTCTTGGAGTCTCTTGAAGCTGCAGTGCACTAGTGGAGTGGTTTGCTTGACCTCAGAATGGACAGAGCGGAAAGAAAGAGCATGTCGGCGCGCAAGGAATGTCCATTGTTTAACATGCATGCAGAATGGACGTCATGACCTACTGCTTGACGGCTACCAAATAGAAACGACGCCCAACAACTAGTCTGCTGGGACGTGTGAGTCAGGCTTACCCCAACACCCTCACTTCGGGCACCATCCACGTGACGGCATGGGGGAAGCTGGTGTCATTGCTGCTACCGCACGTATAAAAATCCTTCTCTTCAAACAGCAGGCGTGATGCGAAGCATAGAATCATAGCATTCATTCGAATGCCATCAAACTGGCACGTCCATGCAGCCGGACTACACAAAAACGCGTCACTAATATGTATCACATGTTAAAACGGTCCGGCTGACCGCACGCAAGGTGTTCCGTAGTTCAATGCCCGAAACAGCGTGGCCACAATCGGGGTGTTCGTGCGCCAGTTCCTCGCAGCATTCCGACGAGAATCCCTTCTGCTTACTCGGTTTTGGTGTCAGTCTTTGGCGGGGGAAATCATCATTCTGCGACGGCCAATCCGTGGCTGAGGCACGCACGAAGGTCAACGTCAATGATAGCAACCGCTCAGAGCGCCTTTTTGCAGGCGTGGTATGTCTCCTCGGGCACGCTATCAAGAAAGCTACCGGTCTCTCGGCCATGATGTAGAGAATGTTATTACGGCCATCGAGATAATGATCAGCTGGTGCCGACCAGAACGTGCCATCTGGCGGTGATTTGGTTCCGTTTTTTCCCGGCCCCCTGACGCGCCCACTTGGGGTGATTATCGCCTGGCGTCGTATCAGACACGTGACAAACGGGTCAGGGCGGGGTCAGAAGTCAGCCCGTGACCGACAAATGTGGGACGGACACGATCACCCGTCCCTAAGCCGAGGAGAAAGGAGGAACCACGCCACCCCACGCGAGAGCCAGAGACGACTTTGCCCGACGCAAGAGGCAAAAGAAGACCCTGGGGAACACTTCTGATCCTTAGCACTGCCACCGGCGGACAAGCGTAAGAGCAATTACGAATTAGTTGGCGTCAGCCGGGTACCCATGGTCTGCTGCTCTGCCAGAAACGGACAGCTGAAGAGCCGGCCAGCTCTCTTCACGGTCGCCTTGGTACGCCCCTGGTACCCTGCACCGACAGCGGCTGACAGAAGGAGAGCCGGCCGGTCCGACCGTGTCCCGGAAATGGGCGTCACGCTGTGACCTTGGCTCAGAGCCCCGGACCTGTTTCTAGCGGGCTGACTCCGGCGCCGCCCTTCGGTCAGGTCTCGGTCGGCGGGCTCCGGCCACCAACGGTGGGAACGGTCACTTGACAGGAGTCGCCGCAGTCCAGAAGCGGTTGGCCCAGCGAGGCACGGGAGGTGAGCTCACCACACGGTCCTTTATCGATTGGAAAGGCTCTTGTCGTTTCCGGCTATATCAGCTCACGGAGAACGAGCTTTATCATTTTACGGATGTGTCTTCTTCCAAAAAGGACAGCCTCTGAATCGATTAAAGGGGGTGTCCCATCTTTGGGACATATTTCAAAAGCATGCTTTGTGAATATGTACACTGTGAACATACCCGTCATCGTCAGAACAAAACAATGGAATCAATTTAGATTATTTTCTAGCCCAAAATTACGCTGTCAACGCTTTGTAACCTCATTGCACTTCTTCCCTGCAGCACGACCACCGTCGTTATAACAAACACCATGCGCACCTCTATTGGTGCAGATAAAAGAACGTTTGTGATTGGTCCAATGTGCAAGGGCCTGGTAAAAGGAAGCACATTGGTCAAAGTTTTGAACCAGTGAGGAGTCACGGGAATCATGTGATACTACCATTCCCAAAATCAAGGTGCGCCTCGAAAAAAAAACACGGTAAGCCCCAAAGAGGAGAAAACCAGTCATAGTAGACGTTTGGTTAAATTCACGGGATAATAACATTATGTTCACGTATATTTTGTCTAAACAGTGTTTTCAAGCTTTCGTAGCATGTATTACGCAAACCTTCTGACACATTAGTATGTTGCAAACATTACAGGAGACACACTTTGAAAAAGCAAGGGAAACAAACTGGATTACTTTCATCGGGCGAGCAGGGATTCAAATGAGATTTCTCCCCGAGGGTCGGCTGCTTTACATAGAAATTCAGGGCTATTCAGGTGGATTTCGAGAAAATTGCCTGTCTGAACAAATAATACGCCGTCTGGTGTTACAATAAGTGAAAATTACAAAAGGTGGGATACTCCCTTTATCAGCACAACAGAATTTTTAAGTCCACCACTCTCTAAAAAAACGCGTTCAAACCCGACGTTGCTTAAAACAAAACAGTGAGGCCTCTCATCTGCCCCGTCAAAGGTATGGAAAGTTTTCACCCATAGCTCAGATGCAGTGCACTTCGTTCATGAGCGGCAGATGCAGCGAGCTCTGCAAACATCGGGCCATAAGTCTGGGGATGTGACCTGTGACCCTCAGGTTCGGTCAGCTACACTGAGGCACGCGTCCGCAGGCGGTTGGCGGTGGGCGGGCCGACTGCGGCTGGGAGCGGCGCCAGTCGAGGCCACAGTGCCGGCGGGCCGCTCGGTCGGCTGGCCGCTCACGAGCGGGGCTCGGGGCGCGCTGCGATCTGGGTTTGTGGGCGGCGGCCCGGTTTGGCGGGCTGCGCCTCGGGCGGTCGGGCGCGGCGTCCGGCCGTGAGAGGCGCGCAGCGGGCCGCGACGGACCAGCGCGCGCGCCGGAACCCTACCCTCCAGCGAGCCGGTGTAGACGGAGCTGGTGTCGAAGGCAACCGGCCCCGAGCTGCTCTCGAACACGACGTCCGGCGCGAAGCGGCCCGGTCCGGCCGGAGGCGGAGACCGGAACTCCCTGCGGGTCACAGGTCACGAGGTCAGACGAGGGTCAGGACTCTGCTCACGGAGCCGCGGCCCCGACAGCCGGCATGAGGAAGTGGTGTGTGTGTGAGTGTGAATGTGCATGCACAAACCCTTTTGCCCCGTCAAAAGGTGTGAAAGACCTTGACGGCCGAAGGTTTTGAAGACCTTTGACAAAGGTCTATGCAAACCTGTGTGCTGTGAAAGTCGCATGGAAAGCACTAAGAGCGCCTTGCGTGAGAGATGGACTGCTTCAGAGAAGATTTGAGCCATGAGCACAATATTCATTGGCTTATGATGGGGAAGAAATATGTTAATGAATTACATCCATCCCGTATAGAGCTGCTTGCTCCTTATGCATTCGGGCACAAAGATTACCCTTGCCGTTGAATCACAGACACCGAAGTCGTTTTGGTTATCCAAAAAGCCGACGGAAACAGTGTCATATGCAATAACTGGAGCACTTCCACATGAAAAATTGCTTTCGTAAAATGCTGCAAAATTCCCCGATACTTTGAAAAAGTGCCTGTTCGGCTACTATATCGAATCTTAACTCCAACTCAGCCGATCCGTGGTATTGATGGCCGGCCTGGGGCCTGCGCTAACGGTAAAACTTCAAAGAAGAGACTGTAATTGACTTCAGGGAATTCATGCCATCTGTTGACGCATGGGACGGACAGGGCCAGACAGTGGGCCACATATGCTTCGGAGCGGTAACGATCCCGCCCGAAGAATTACAGCATTCCTCAACGGAGCGTCCGACCTCATTTGCCAGCGGAAGCGGACTACGCAAACGAGCCGACGTCTGCGGACGAGCCCAGCTGTGCATTCAAGGTGATCGCACATGCACACACACGCGGCTTCATTCAAGCACACCGCAGCACGAGCGTGCACCCATGCGCCTGGGGTGTGACGGTGGGCGAGTCGAATGGGTCGACAGTCGGCACGCTACGCGCCGATCCGTCCTCGGCCGACTCGGCGCCGGACTCGGCGTCCAGTGGCTGTCAAACTAGCGGTCGGTGGCTCGCAAATCGGCCGTGACACTAATTGGGCGTAGAACGCGGAGACGCGACTAACGCGGCACGCATATCGTGCGATCGCCGTTCCTCCGCCGGCGATTGCGCCCGCGGAATGCGACGCGTAGGTAAGCGTGCTGTCTGATTCCGCGGGACGCGCGGTCGTGCGCCGCATTCGGAATGTCCCAGACGGCACTGCGATGCCCGCTTGGCGGAAGTCGAGTCCAGCCAGCCGCGTTCCCAAGCGGGTCGTGTGCAACACCGGTCAACAATCCAACCTCCCCTCCCCCCCCCCCGCCGGCACACACACACACATCACCACCGCGGTCGGTCGGAGCGGTGATGTCTGTCGGTCGGCGCCGCATCGGAAGCGGTCGTCGACCGACCGCGTGGTCTCTTCGTGTGAAGGAATGCAGTCTCCAGGCCTGGAGGGTATGTTTCGTTGCAGAGCTCAAGTCTCCGTGGGGTTTTCGAGGTGATGCGTTGGACGATGTGAGCTGTTGCTAGCCAGTGATACACTGGTGCTATTACAACCCAGTTTCTGTCCAATTCCAGCTGGAGAACAGCGCAAAAAACGATGTGTTCAAAGCCGTCTTTTTCGAAAAGGCACCGCCTGTCGACACGAACGTTTATACGTCCCGGTTTCGGAGAACTCTGAGCACCCAACATCACGTCAGGCTGCTCCAACAAGACTAATGGTTCTTTCAACTTCCCTGACATTTTGGACGTTCTTTTTTAGAAACTGATCCACAAGACGTACCGTTACATCGCACAGAGGACTGTATGAAGGCGAGCCTGAAGTTCGGATTATCGTGCGGAATGTAGTATGACGGTAATGTGGAGGATCGTCACTCGCCATAGCTTAAGGTTCATTACCGCGTGTGAATATGTCATAAGAGGGAGATTGCAATCTGAGATATTTAATTATCCAGTCAATCCTGCCGAGCCGTAGCGGAAGGATTGTCGATTGCCTGCCGACCGTGAAGCGGATTTTCATTCCGGCATTCGTAAGGCAGGCAAGCGGCCGACCTCCACTGAACTTGCCGCATGCCTGCCAGTAATATTAAATATATTTTCCAAACATTTTGTTAAAGAGCTTCGTCACTTGATTAATGGACACATTGTCTGGCAGGTAAAAGTAAACAAGTTGGCTTTTGTGCTAGGATTTTTTGTGCTTTATGCTTTGTGCACAGAAAAATATTGGGTTTTTCCAGATATGCCTTCATAACCTATATGCATGAGGCATCGGGATTCAACCATATTGGGGCTTACCTCTCATCATACTTCGCATCATTGTTTTGACTGTTGTTCACTTCGAATGGACAACAGCCAGCGTTGTCCATCTAAAATTAATGTTGTCATATAATCGTAATTTAGGATCGGGATCAGTGTTCAAGCATATAAATGCCATACATATACACTATTGCAGCTCTTTTACCTGCCGAGCCAACGACACCACAGCGGTGTGTTTTGAGTACTATGATACTGAGCACTCGGTGCCACTTGTCTACCATGTGGCCCATGTTAAAGGGGATATAATATCACTTTCAGCGTTTAAGGTGTTGTTAAATCAGACGAATGCGATTTTATCAGTAATATCATTTTCCTCGAAATACTTCTGCAAGGCTCGGAATATCGGTTGACAGTGGCCGCTCCTGCGGAAGAAATCTCATTTGACTCCCTGCTCACTGCTATGAAAGTAAGACATTACATATACCTCGCTTTCCCAAACGTGTGCGTTCCGTAATGTTTGCGACAAGCTACATGTCAACATGTTTGTGTAATGAATGCTATAAATCCCTGAAACATTCTGGACAAAATGCATGCGATCATGAAGCTTTTATCTCACGAATTCATTGGGATGCTATGATATGGCTTAAATTTATCCCATATCTCTCCAATATGGCGTTAACCACATTGGCTCTTTTCAAGGCGGACTTTGACTTTGGAAATGGAAGTTTTACATGGTCCACAGTGACGCACTGGTTCAAACTTCAACCAGTGCACGTCTTCGCAACAGGCCCTTGTCGCACTTTGACCAATCACAAGCGCTCTCTTATTCGCACTATTAGAGGTGCCACGGGTGGTTGTCATAACAACGGCGATCGCGAGTGCAAGGAAGAAGCGTGGTGATGTTACAAAGCGCGGACAGCGTACTTTGGACTCGAAGATAATTAAAATTGATATCCCTACTACGTCTTGACGGTGCTGCAGTGGCAATACCCAGTGTCTTCATAAGACGTAACTGGTCCTGAGGTTCACTAGAGCATATTTTTGAAAAATGCTTCAGATGTGGAACACTGCCTTTAAGACCAAAACATTGCAGAATTTCTGCAGCGCAAGGGCGCGGAAGGTTGCCAAAAGATGCCACTGCACTTCGGAGATAAATGAACTTTCTTCGCCTTCAAGACACACTTATTGTTTTGCCTGTTAAATATTTTAAAGTTGAAGACTTCCCCTCATTAAACAATGCCAAAAAATAAGCATTTTAAAATGGATGCGCCGTGAGAGATTTCAAGCCATGAGATGTACGATCAAAATTAAAGCAGCTGTGTACGTGTGCCCAAGCATATGGCGTGTGCTGTATGCGGTTGTTATGCACCCAGTTGTTACAGCTGTATGCAGACCGCGGCCCGTACAGCAACGTCATGCGCTAACTAGTTTCCATGCCGACACACATGCCTACGTTATAACCGTGCAAGCTTGTAAATTATGCTTTGGGCTCCCAGTCCTTGATATTTCTGCGAAACCCCAACGCACTGTTCATAATTTCATCACCACCTCCACAAATCGTATTGACGCGCGATTGGTGGTTTGTGGTTTGAGAGCCACTGAACTCTCCCGAGTGGGCGCTGAACGAGCAGCGAGCCGCCCAATTTTGCTGGCCCGTCTCCGCCCGTTAGCCTTGTGGCCGCCAAGACACCTATAGTTTGGCTGTTTGGAGCGGGCAGGGCCGGTCTCTGTCCGCCGGCCTCACCGGGCATCAGACGATACAGTTGCGAAGCGCGACAAGGCGCTCCCACGGACGTCTCCCTGATGTCGCCTCGGGCGGAACGACGTCCCGCTGATTTTTTGGGCGCGACGCTGGCTCGCCGCGCCATGTGGTGGAATGACACAGCCGGTGGGTGTACCTGGCCTTCATTCTCTTCGCCAAGGTCGCAGAACTGCGCTGAAAACGCCGTTTGGGATGCCGATACGACCGGCGGGGGAGACGCCGACGCCGACCCGACCGCCGACGCCGGTCGGCTCCGCCACCGCCGCGGCCGCGGAGCCGACCACCGGCGCCGCAGCCGACGTTCAGCCGGCCACCGCTGACGTCATCGGCTGTGGTCAGCTGACTGCCATGGTCAGCGCCACCCGCAGCCGACCGCGCCAAGTCCGCCGCCGAGTGAAGCCTGCTGGGAAAGCCGACGGAAAACCGTTGGGCCGCGCGGAGAAATGAGCCAGCGCGGTGACCTGTTTTCATATCCCGGCCGACACGCCGTCCTGACCCACTGCCGCGCGACACTGAATGGGGTGGCAGCGGCCGCCGCCGACGGACGGGGCCGGGCCGGCAGGTCGTGTATGGGGAGACGGGACGACCCGCCTCGGCCGCACCCGTGCCGTTTTCGCAATCGGCCGCATCCACAAACAAGACCTCGAACTTGTGATGCAACAAAGCGGGCAGCCACGCGTCCTCGCAGGGCTCTCGACGGCTCCGGCACGTGGCGTACATTGATCAGTGTCGCGCTGTGGGCTGAGACATGCACTGGCGCGCAATCACTGCCCGGTTTGCCGCCGCGGTAACGGACCAACGACCGCCAGCTGTTGAACGCGACGTGGGCGGGTCTGAGTCACAGGCACTGCTGGCCGGCCGGCCGGTGGCGCGGCCCGTGCCGGTACAGCGCGAAGCCGCAGCGCAGCTGTGACCTTGCCTGACCTCCGGTGGCGGCCCGCGGGTTCCCGTGTGACCCGTGTCGCCGCGCTGCCGCCAGCTGGC